TGCTGACTGGGCGGGGCCCTGAGGAAGCGAGGCAGGGGCTAGTTCTGTGGGGGCGGGAAGGGGTCGGGACCGCTCAGCCCGGCCGATTTGGGTCGGACTTACCCTGCCTGTAGCTTGCTGGCCTCCGAGCAGCTGGAAAAACAGACAGTGCTCGGACGTAGTCGCCGCTGAGAGGTTCCTGCAAACACAAGGCTGAGCCCGATGCGCAAGGAGGCCTTCGTGGTCACGTCGAGCCATAGCTCAGCGCAGTTCTTGAAACATAGCTTTCGATCTCAGCCCTCATCTAAGTTGCGCCTTTATTCTGGCCAAACTCTAAAAGAACCGGACGCGTTTCTTGTTTGCCGCGGCGTCGTGACTCGTGACCCGTCAGGCGAATTGCGGGCCAGTCGTCGTACCGTGATGACCTGAAACTTAGCAACGGACGCGGCCGACGGAATTCATGGGACATTTGATGACGGATTATAGTTTCGAGTGAAATATGTCGACTGGATCGATATCCTTGATACGAAGTTGCGGGTTATCCAGCTGTATGTTGGGTGCCGTCCTGTATTGAAGTTCGACGCATGGGTTGCGGTCATCTTAGATCGATCTCTACCTTTCATAGAGCGCCCGGTGTCCACATACGCCATGGTAATATATACAATATTGCCGGAACGGGTTGTGCGGCAGTGGAGCCCATGAGCTGGCGCTGATTCTACGGATTTTCCCAACATTTGAGGTACATGATTCTCGGATGTCTTTAACCAGCTTTCTTCGTGTGGCTGTATATTATTAAAGCGATGGTTTTGTCCGCGGCGTTACATCGTGCCGTAGACGTTGCTAGAGGTCATTAAGTCGCGCTCCGAAAGTCCGATCTACAATAAAGGCAATGCGCACTTGGAGCTCACCATTCATTGTAAGTAATTATGCCTTTACTCTAATAACGGTGTCATTCAGTTGAAAGTGCGGTAAATTTGGGCGGAGTTTTGCCTGAAGTCGCCGGTCATTCAGCGTCCTATCCCATTTCTGTTTGTTAACATTATTAAACTCTGGGGCTGTAGCGCTGACTCTTAAAACCCGGGCGAGGGTCTGCGGGGCCGTTTGCCCCCCCCTTCCCGCAGTCTGGACGGCGGGGGGGGTGGGGGTCTGGCTCCCCGGGCGGCGTCGCCACCGTCGCCGGCCGGGGCCGCCGCCGCCGTCGGCGCCGTCGCCGATCGACGGTCGGTCCGAACGGTTGTGTTGGGTTCCAGCGGTGGGGTCCGCCGCCCCTGGCAGTCATGATCTTCGGCCTCTATATCCGCTACGAGTCCTCGGACGGTAAGGGGACTCGGACACTGCCTGCTAAAGGGTATCTGCTAACCTCTTGGCACCTCGCTGATGTCGCCTCTTCTGGCGACTGCGTGGTTCAGTGTGTGTGTGTGTGTGTGTGTTTTTTTTTTAATTAACGAAATGTTGCAATTTCATTTTCTTGTATTACCGGCTTTATAGTGTATGTAGAGGAATTTGACATTGCTTTCTAGCAAAGGACTTACTAGCTTTAACTTTGAGCAAGTTGACGTTTTATATACGTTTCTTATTCCGGCAGTGATCGTCTTGTTTGCTTCTAAGTCTTCTATTTGTCGAGACCTGTAAATAAAATAATTTTGAACGATTTTTCTTAGATATGCATGAGTTTACAAATGAGCTCATGGTTTACGTATGACGTTTGAGCTTTTTTTAGAAATCTAGTCACTGTTTCTTTTTCTGCCCTGGTATTTTTCCTTCTCGTACATTTCCAGCTGGTGGAATGGAGCAGCAAAGTTGTGTCACACCGGCCTCCAACACGCGGAGCAGCTGCTCTTATATCGGCGGCCGCAGCCGGCGTGGCCGCCACGCGCTGTTAATTGGGGATGAGCCGCTCGAATTAATGGGCGCCGCCGGTGGCAGCCGGCCGCCCCGGGGACCGGCCCATAGCGCGCGCTCCATTAGTAGCCCATTGGCTGGCTTATGGTGCGGCTGAGTGGCCGCTCTGCCGATAGGGTAGCCACTGAGCTGGGGCGTCACCGGCCGCCAGGGGTAGGGTGCTCGGTACCGGTGTGCCACTAATGGGCGCATATGTCACCGGCAGGGGACACGGCTCATCGGACTCTGGATAGGACTGGACGAATATGTTCACGCTGCCATTAGCATGATGATGTAATTCATACGATGAGGCATATACGGACTTTTAGTTTATTTAACGCAACATGACCTTCCCTAATAAGCGTTTTAAATACCTTAACTGCAATGGCAGGAATAACTCTGAAACTGGCAATGTTTCGCAGGAACTGATAGTCTTCGACTAATGTGGTCGCTGAAAATCTGTTGATTTTAAAGGGTTGATTCTTGAGCTAGAAGACATTGCACGGGTCCAATGAAAGGAAATTTCTTTTACGCTTAGTCGTTCTATGTATAGTTGGTACCTTGCAATGGATGGATATTCAAATACATTTATTAGCCAGTTGACGTTTTGTCTGTCCTTGTGAAAGAGTAAAACTACATTTGAGTAGGTACCTTGTTTTCATCATACTTTTACTTCTTCCAGTACGTGATTGTTATGCAGCAGCGTTGGTCATATGCGGATGATATGCACAGTTGCGTATATTCTGGCACAATTTCGTTGCTTTGCATATCGCGCTGTCGTTGGGGAAAATGACTGACGGATGCACCATGCCTTGATTGATTATGCATATGCCACCAGCGATGGGTGGTAAAAGCCTCCTGGGTCGTGGCAGGCATTCAGCGACTTTCAGGAACTTCGGCACACAATGCTCTGTGTTTGGAAATTGATGTTCGACATTCATCCACATGCCTCATAGTGTCACTCAGTAGCTGAATTTCTGTTTTACTTGCTGATGGCTCGCCGCATTTTGTATTCTAGAGCGGAACTGCACCGTTATTCACATCGATTTCCATGGTGGAGCCCGGCGGACACATATCAGTCAGGGATGGCGGCCATTTCGCGCGATTGGTTTCATGGCTCGACTGGGCTCACTGAACGACCGGCAAAGTGTCACGCGCTCAGGGCGATAACATTGATGGCGGCAGTGGCCGATTCAACCCATGCATTTCCTTGATCGGAATGCGTGTGAATGAGCACTCACCAATGTCGGGTAATGATGGTGGACATTCCGCTGCCAAAATAAATTCAGTGCCATTTACTTTTGATGACCGATCAAAGCGCACAATTAGCTGCCAAAATAAATTAAGATATATGTGCTTTTGATGACGGAGCACATGGGTACTCACTGGGTAGGCTCTCAGTTTCCTCTTTTACGACGTTGTGGCGTCGTCGGTTAAAATGACGAAGAGTACCGTATAAGAGTATTCCACACTGCGGCTATTTTCGACCTCAGTCAAAGCACTTGTGTCAGCGGCCGCCAGCTGAGATGGATGATAACGCTCGCTGCTTTAGCGGCAGTGTGAGGCTGAGAGCGCGGCTGGTATAGCTCTCGCCGCGGTCTGCGGGCCGCTCGACAGAGCGCTGGCTCCGCTATCAGACGATTTTATCGCCACTGCACTGATGCCAAAGTGCGGCGATGTGTCAGCCACCCGCGATTGGTTAGCGAAGTGGAGGAGTTAATGAGCTCGGTCAGTATAGCCAATGCGTGTCGACGGTAACGGCGACGGGCTTTCAGCAGTCTTGAGGTTGAAAGAGAGGGGGCGGGGTTTAGTCTGGAGTCACACCAGGGCCGCTCTGAATGACACAGCCATTGGCCGCTGCACAAAGCGCCGGTCGCAGGACTGATACGGACAGGTCACGATATCAGTTTGGTGCCCAGCGCCGTGTCATGAATGGCTGGCTGGTGACGCGAGTGGCACTGACGCCCAATACTGCCTGGGCCTTTACAGGCACCTCTATAGCGCAGCTGATTGGTATGGTATGGACAAGTGGTAGAGGGTCTAGCTCATAATGGATGGGAGCTCTGAAGTACATTTTTGCACTTGTTACTTATATGACGCTTCTTTCATCACCACACCAAATTGGAAAATAAATGAATAAACTGCCCATACCTACATAGCGGCCATGTTCCTCGACAATAGTGTGTGTCCTTCTACACTCCTGTGTGTGCTTCCCACGTCCCCGTGGCTCGCTGAGGACATTCTCTGTATCAGCGCGCCGCGCCTGTGGCATGCGTGACGCGTCTGCGGCCCGCGCGGCGCCCATGAAGAGCGCCGTTTCTCGGCAGGCGACGACGGCCTGTCGACGGCTGTGCTTGGTATGCATTGGCGGCGGCCGGCCATGTCCATTGGCCGTGATTAGGAGCCGGCCGTAATTCGGCGGCCGGTCGCCGCGCGGCGCTCCCCGGGCGCGGCCGCAGACTGCAGAGCTGGTCACCGCCCGGGCGGCGAGCCGAGCAGAATCTCTTCCGGGACGGGACACTAGGCATAGAGATTGGTGCTCAAATATGTGTCTGGCTACCTGGAATCGCCAGCTGAAGTGAAACCTAATACAGCTTGGAGCAAGAGAACAGCTCCTAGATGAACCTACGAGAGAAAGACACTCGTAGATATATAGGATTGTATGCTAGTGATGGACAGTCTTTGCTCTAGCCGTCATTTGTTTTTCAATGAAGTCCAACCAAATCCATAGCCCTGACCGCGCTTCTGCCTAATCAAGCGTGGCGTGCTTTTGCAAAACATAATGGTCTGACGCCTGTGATAAGTGTGTACCCATCAACCCCGATTTGTGTGTGTATTCTAGACTGGACCGGTCCAGAAGCTGTGTGCTAAAATCCTAACATTTCACAAAAGGAATGGTGATGTAAAATGCAAAGTTCTCTTTGTCTGTCAAAGCGATCAATGTCAGCTAAAAGTTCGGACTGAATGCGAATGACAGCTGTTATAATGACATGAAATGTTCACAGAAATAACCCACACTAAACTCTTTTTCGGGAAATTGATAACTACAAGCAAAATCAAGGAAGTGCTATCATGGGGAGCGCCCCAGCGCCCGCGCCGCATCCCACGCCGTTCTGATCGCGTTGTTTTCTGTTCGCCAGATGAGGCGGACACGGATCAGGAGACGGACCGTCTGCTGGGTCAGCAGCGCACCGTCACCGGCGACAGCGCCGACCTGGACAAGGTGAGTAGCCTCTACCCGGGTCAGCAGCGCACCGTCACCGGCGACAGCGCCGACCTAGACAAGGTGAGTAGCCTCTACCCGGTCCACAGGGTCAGCAGCGCACCGTCACCGGCGACAGCGCCGACCTAGACAAGGTGAGTAGCCTCTACCCGGTCCACAGGGTCAGCAGCGCACCGTCACCGGCGACAGCGCCGACCTGGACCAAGGTGAGTAGCTTCTACCAGGGTTCAGTCACCGGCGACAGCGCCGACCTAGACAGGGTGAGTAGCCTCTGCGCGGGCCAGCAGCGCACCGTCACCGGCGACAGCGCCGACCTGGACAAGGTGAGTAGTCTCTCCCAAGGCCAGGGCCAGCAGAATATCGTCAGCGCGGAAGTGGACAAGGTGAATAGCCTCTACCTGGGCCGTGATAAACGGCGGCGGACGTTTACCGCTCACCGAACTGATGTGGCAGCAGGCTCACCTCGTATGTGCCTGTACCGGCGGGCTCATTCTTCATTCGTGTGCTGTTCCCGTGCTGTTGTTTAAAGTCAGACGTCCAGTACCCGATGTTTGGGTCTGTCTCCACAGTAATGTGTCCACTGCCCATGGCCATGATGGTGCCTGATTTCGCTTCCCTGAATCGATTTCGGTCATGTCGCTTCCACGAAACGTACTGACAGTCGAACTATTGATAAATCAACAGGTTCACTTGATTGTGTTTAGGCTCCTGTTTCATCAGTGATCAGTAATGTGATTCCGATTCCAGTGAAAATGGAACCCGTTTCCGAATTAATCAAATCCTTTGGCGTTGGTTTCAAGTCAGTCGGTGTCTGTATTGTGTTGTGCGTTGTCCATGTGCCTTGTGCAGGTCGCTGGCAGGGTTTGTAGTCCTGGCTGTAGCGTGATATCATTCAGTATCATGTCCATCGACAACAACTGGACGGTTCGAGTTTCGACACACCCCTCTCGGTCGTTGTTTGGCTTTGCTGGTGTCTGGACAGCCTTTTGCCAGACGCCGACTTCTGTGCCTCGGTGGGGCTGTTGCCGCTGAAAAATGCCCCTGGAAATAATAACATTCCTCAACTGACGGCCGAGCAAATTCGGACCGTAGTCGTATGTCCTTTATACGACATTCGCCGCTGGTCCGTGACAAGTTAGGGCCGTCATCCAGGCTGCACGGGGGTCATTTCTGGGCGGAATCGTAATGTTTCCAGCGAAAACATGCCACTTCAACCAACTATTGGTGATATGGAGACAAACCGCAGGACTGAACACAAGCCTCATACAGTGACGGGCTCATTTCCGATCTCAAATAGGGTGTTATGTTCGTTTTTGTTATACGCAAAAATCACGTAAAAATGACCCGTTATAGATCAATATATCATTGCTTTCGATCGACTGCAATATTGTCCCTTATCTTCATTTTTATGCATTTTTTATGTTCTTACCGACTGTTGCACGTAGATTATTTACTTTGACAATATTTGATCTCAGTCTGTTTTCGTCTTCGGTATTGTCCTCAGTCCGCTTTGTCCCGCGCTTTCCATTTCGGCCTCCAAATACACATGCGGCTCTCTTCATCTCCAGTTCTTTTCAAGTTTGGTAATTTGGCTGTTTTGGAGGAGCGTTCGGCACGCATCCGTCGTCGCTGTGGCCGCCTCATTTGTCGGCGGGGAGGCGCGGCCGAGAGGCTGCACACTCGGACGGCAGACAAATGTGCGATAAAGCTGACGGACGGCCGCGGATCGGTGGTGCAGAAATGTCAGCCGGCCGGCGGGCGATCTCCCCGGCCCGGAGAGGCGTATGGATCACCTGAGCCCGCGGCCTAGCGGCGAGAGGACGGCTATTCGCGCGGCTCACACACGGCTGACGCAAATCGGAAACGGATTTTTCGGTCAAATTGGCTGCGTTTTTCTTGCGGACGTATAATATCAGAAGGAGCTATATCGTGAATGATTTTATGATAACACGGCTTATTTTTACATTGGTTTCTATAGTACTTACCACTTTCCTGGAATAGAAGCTGTCACTCTTTGGTTATTTTATTTTTCGTTCAGCGAAAACATCCTGTAGCTGTCGTACCTTATTACCCATGAGCAAGCATGTCTGCCTTGTCAGCGCCGATGCATTTGGTCTGTCCTATTTTTTCACTTTGATTTTTTTTTCTAGTTTTTTTTTTTCAAACTATATTATATTTTGTTTGTTATGAATCAGGTGCGAACAATTTTTTCATTCTATATTGCTTTGTTTCTTTTTATGTAACTTAACTAAACAATGCTGAAAATATTCTCTCTTAACCAATGCATTTCGGTATACCCGGTGGCCTTTATTTTCACCCCGGCACAGCTGAAGTCCCTGCCGTCTCCAGACGGAGCACGTCCAAAGCCGGGGCTCCGGTCGGGGTTAGCCGACGATCCCTGCCAGCTCGGCGGCCGACCTCCCGCGCCGTGGCCGACTGTTTTGCCGCCGGCGTAACGACCTGTAGCGCGGCGATTGGCCGTTCCCCTGAGACCGGCGCTGGCGCGTCGTCCCCAGGGCGCAGAGACGCGCCCCTTGACCCGCTCGCCAGCGGGAAAAGCGCGGAATAGGGCATCGCAGCCGCCTGATTGCGAGCTGTTGACCGCGTAGCCTGATGTGATTGGGATCGTCAGTGGCGTGCTGCATTGATGCACTTCGTTTTTTTTTTAAGCGGATTGTGATATGCACCCGAAAAAGGTAACTGTAAGTGATCGGTTGATGCATGTCGCTCTCCAATCGACGCTTATCTGTAAATGATATCGGACAATGGAAATCCACTTTTTGGAAAGCGTGGGTCACACACTACACACTAGACAGACTCAGGGGCTTAGTGCCTCGGACTCGGAGTGTAATCTCGGACTCGGAGTGTAATCGCCACGCCGATTGTGGATTGCTCTTGATCGTCAATACATACATACATGCATACATAGGCAGCAGCTGATGAGAGTAGGCTGGTCTTTTCTGTAGCGCTGACTGATGGAATCGTCTCCAGTTTTCCTGTCTCCAGTTCCCTCCGACACTCTATGGTCCTCATGATCGAGCCTCTGTGTACCGCTCGTTGCAGGCCGGCGGTGGCGGCGGCGGCTGTCGGCCGGACGGTCCTGACAGGTACATCGACCCGCTATGCCGTGTGTTTGTGTTCGGGCGGGGCCGGTGGCGGTATGGATCGACAACAGGTGGTGGGCTGCGGGCGACGGGCGACGGCGGTGTCGGGGGTCAGCCCCGGCCGACGGGCGCCGACCACCCGCGGGGGTCTGTCCCAGCGCCCGGTCCCGGGCCATGGTCGGAGTCGGGGGCGTACCTCGGCGACGGGCGGTGATGGGGTCAGCCTCGGCGACGGGCGGTGATGGGGTCAGCCTCGACGACGGGCGGTGATGGGGGCATACCTCGGCGACGGGCGTCTGACGGCGGTGGTCGGTGTCACACGTCTCCTTGGGCACTGTCTGCTTCTGCGGGGCCTCGGCGCCGGCCGGGGGGCTTTTCACGGGTTTTGGTTTCCTGTTCCTGCCAGCACCGGTATCACCGCTTGTGTCCATGTCAGGTGATGGAATACTGTTGTCTATATTTCTTTCACTGACTGTGGGGCTAAACTGCTGCACTGTGCTCAACCTTTGTGTTAATTACCTTTTTAATTCATCAGCAGAGCATCGTCAAAATCTTTACGAATGCAATGATTAGTATTTTGACGTTTTTTATCTGTTTTGTTCGTACTTCTGCCTTATCTTTCTGTTTTCATTGTCCGTTACAAGCAACCTTTTTTGGCTTGACCTTGTTTCAGTAATCCGCCAATCTCACTAAGTCGGCAGGTAGCAGCATCTATCGACTAGAAAAAAGCTGTGTCGCTATCTGCCAATTACCAACGGTTACATAAAAACTAGCTGCCTGTTCTTAGTGCCTTGTTATCACAGTTCTGAGCGGACTGCTTAGTGCTTATCCTGGTATATCACCAGCACTAATTCCTGCTCCAAGTTGTGGGATGTGTCACAAATCGACCATGCACCGTATCTATTTCTTTCCAGCTTTATTAGCGTTGCTCAATGTTCCGTTTATTTTCAGCTGCTTGACCTCGCGTCATAGCTTTGTCGCCTAGCGTGTATGGGACGGAAGTTCCCGGCTATTATGGCTACCTAGCCCCGCGTCGTGTTGTGTCTGCCTCTCTCTAGCCCTATGAAGGTCACACAAGGCTCCGACCGGTTGTGACGGCTCCGCCTCACGGCGTAGATTTGTCTCTCCACCGCTGTGACAGTGACTCCACAAAGTCTCCACCATTTGTGGCGGCGTAGTTCTGTCTCTCCACCGCTGTGACGGTGGCGCCAGGTGTCGGTCCGCCCGGCGCCCGTCTGACAGCAGGTGGGGGTGCTCCCATCGGCACTGATCAGTCATATCGCTCAGTGCGCGCCTGGCCGCCCGCCGCCTCAGTCGCCCGAAACGTCAGGCAGTCGAAGGGCAGACATCGGACTGCTCGTAGTGTCGGGTAGTGTTGGTAGTGCAGTGGTGACTATTCCAGTGCACTTCTTCCGCGGTGCGATTGTTTCGAACTAACTTGCATTGTGTTTCGTGCTTTCGCATTGGCAATGTCGATGATTTGATCAGACCCGAGTTTTTGTCGACAATTATCGGAAGTGAGCAGGGTGACCTTCAGTGGTGTGGCCTCGGACCTAAAGCGTGTCCACTGCGACTGAGCGTTTCTTGAAGTGAGCCACCGTTGGTCATAATCAGAAGTTTGATCAACAAAACGCTGTCCTGATTCGAATGGTGGAGTAAATACTGGGTATCCGCCCCACGATCCGTGGTTAGAACGCTGTGTGTCTCTCTGCGAACCCACACCTCCGGCGGTGGACGCGCGACTGAGCCTCATCCGCCGACCGCTGACACCCGCGGCTGCTCTCCGGCTCTCCGGTGGGGAGACTGCCGGCAGCATGGGTCTGCTCCCAGTACCGCCCTCGGTGAGTTTGACCAGTTCCGCTGTCTCGCACAACTCTGCAGCGCCGCCTGCACTCGCAGATTACCGGCCTGGTGTGCCGCAGTTCTGCCCAGCTGTTGGTTCTCTCCGGGGGCGGCGTGGAACCGGACACCCACGGCCCAGTGTGTGCTCTCGGACCGTTCCGCGCCGGCTCGGCCCCCGGTTTATGGAGCTCCCAGCGGCGCCGTGTCTCGCCGGCGCTTTGTGTGCTCTCGCCCGAGTCGGCGATTCTCTCGGACGAGTAAAGTTGGGAGAGTTTGTGGCTGTCCATGTCGGGTGAAATGGGCCGAGAGCGCTGCGCGCCGCCTGGGAGGCGGCTGGGATCGGTCATCCTGGTGATAGCAGCGGTGCCCGAATGGGGCCCGGCCAGGGAACGGTCCGGTCACACGGAGGAGAGGGAGGGAGACACCCTTTGTTGCGCAATGCCTGCTTTTGTTGCAAGATTTTATAACGCTTTTTCCTGAGCTGTATGTTCATTTTGTCAATCACTCGACATCAATGAATAATTGCATTCACTTAAAGTTATTTATTGCGATATGTAGATTATATGCTTTATGTGTTCAGCTGAGTGAGTCTAAAACATCCCTAAAAATTTTGGATTTATTTGGCTGCGCAAATGGCCCCAGGCCACCATTTGATATCAAACACTGTGCGCTATGGCAGACTTGTTCTGTAAAACTCAGAGCTGCGTGCGTTTCGGTCGGTTTTCACGGCGTGGGCGGCCGGGATCAATCATTTCCTCCGCGGCCGCCCGGCTGCCGCCCGTCAGCTCTGCCCCGGCCGCCCGTCACTGTTGACGGCTGTCAACTGATTGAGCAGCGCACGCGGCGCCCGCGGCTCTCCGAACTGCTTCAATAATGCGGCCGTTGCCCGCGGCTGCCGTCATATAGAGGGCCCGGCTAATCGATCCGCCTTATAATTGACTCGGGCTTGATGCGGGCCTGGATTGCGTCACGTTTGGGAGAGGCGTGTACCGCGTGCTGCCCGGACCCAGTTACCTTGTTTCTCTGCTGTGCTATGATCCGCTGCCGGCTCCGTGGAATGAGCACCTTTGTGCGGGCTTCTGGGTGGAGCGCACGGTGTGGCATTTACCGCCTCTGCCAGCCTGGAGACCGAGCCGAGCCGGGCCGGGTCGGAGCGTGAGCGGGTCGGGCGGAGCGGCGGTAGGG